GTCATAATTTATCTTAATGCAAAACAAACAATTTAATAGGTGCTAGTTTAAGGGATGTTACAAGTAGTAATTTGAAAGTGAAATTTGGTAATCAAATTGTACCTTAAGTAAAAAAGTTTAGATATTTAGGAGTTATTATGCAACATAATGGGGAAATTGATAGAGATATTGCACATCAGATACAAGTTATGTGGTTTAATTGGAGAAAAGCTAAAGGAGTTATTTGTGGTTGTAAAGTATCTAATAAACTTAAAGGAAAGTTTCATCAAACTGCTATAAGATCAGTAATATTATATGGTAGTAAATGTTAGGCTTTAATAGGACAACAAGAGTATAAAATTAGAGTAGTAAAGATGAGAATGTTGAGATGGATGTGTGAACATACACATAAAGAAAAAATTTGAAATAAGTGTATACGGGGAAAAAGTAGGCGTTGTATCTATTGAAGAAAAAATAATAAAAAAATCATTTAAGATAGTTTGAATATTTATAAAAAAAATCATGGGAGGAACATGTGAGGAGAGTAGAATAAATAATTTTGAGCCTTGTCAAAAGGGGTAAAGGAAGGCTAATGACAACATTTGTGAAAGTTATTGATCTCGACCTCTTAATTAATAATATTTCTAAAAGTTTGATAAATGATAGAGTGCAATTGCATTATATAATTTATGTAGTCGACTCCACCTAATGAAATAAGGCTTGTTGTTATTGTTGTTTTTGTTTTTGTTGTTACACATATTGTTTTGTTAAAGTTCTTGTTGCACCTTTAATTAAGTTAAACTTTTAAAAGTTTTCAGTTTAGTCAAAAAAATTTTAGACACCCAATTTATTACCCTCTTAGGTGTAGTTGCTTGATCTTACATAAAGATGTGAACCAAACATGCTTTACACTTTCTTGTCTCAGATCTGCAATTTCCTAGATCTTAGCTTATTGCAATGAGCAACAAATGCCACAGCCTTCTCTTATGATCATGTGCCACAAGAAATTGTTTTTTTTTTATATTCCTCCTTTCAAAGGTAGTAGCATTTTGCATATGGACTTGGAAGGCCTTCTCTTTTGGTTTATGAATTGGTCTATTTCTGTTTCTTTCTTTCAACTCCCCTCCCCTCTCCTTTTCTTTTCTTTTGCTTGGTTGTATTTTTGTGTTTATTATAATATCTGTCCTTTAATTAAAAAATGACAATATTTGAAAACATTTTTGGTAATGGACTGTCTTGAAAAAGATAAAATATTTCATGTGGATTTTCACACACAATAGAGGACACACTCAACAACTTAGAGCTAGTCAAGGCCTCTCGAACACTGATTGATGCCCTTTCGAGAGTGATCAACTAGAAGACTCGATGCATCTGCTAAGAGATTACAACAATACTTCAAACCAATGGAAATCTATGATCAAACAAGAGCATATGGATGTCTTTCTCAACTAACAAGGCGCAGAGTGGGCAAAGTGGAATCTTAAAATTGAAGCAAGTAACAACTTCATTAGGAAAATTCAATGGTCTGTGTTATTTGGTTATATTTGTTGGTATATATGAATCGAGAAATGTAAATTCATTTTTTATGTTGATTATGTTGTTGATTGTCATGATGCTAACTTGAGTTTCTTTAAAACTTGTATGGATAAAGTTTTATTGGAAAATTACAATCTCCACCCCTCCTTAGAGTGGTGGGAGAAGATTGGGATATTTCCAATGGTAACTTTGTCAAGCTTGAAGTGGATGGTTCTCTTCTCCCAAGTGGTTAATTTCTTTACATTTCATGTACAAGGAGTGTAATATCTATGTGGACTATTTAGCTAGACTTCCTCATAGCTTAAATAATCCGTTTTGTTTCTTTGATCAACAACCATCTTCTACTTTTGAGATGCAAATTGATGAAAGTAGGTTAGGTTAGTGTTTGTTATTAGTCGGCTTCCTTTATAGTTTATTTCTTTCTTTCAGTTTTTCAATTTGTAATAAAAAAAATTGAAGTATAAAGATAAAGATACAGGAGGGATTGGTAGGAGGTGGGAAACCAACTCCAAGTTAATGATATTGAGAATTTGTAAATTTTATGAAGTTTGCTTTTTCATAGATCTCAACTTTAAAAAACTTGCTTTCACTAACACTTGATGATTGGGAGTGGGAAAACAGTTATATTATGATTTACTGATTTTTTTTATTTTGAAAAATTGATAATTTCATCTTATATAAATAATTTTTTAAAGAACCAATGTATATGTATTACAATTTATTAATGAATTTTATACATAAATAAATTATGTATTGAATTTTATTGTATAAGATATTATTTTATTATGAGAGAGATGGGGAGACAAGACATAATTTTAATTTTATATCAAGAATAGTGCAAATTTTTTAAAATAAGAGAGGATAATAAAATCCAAATAACATTTTCTCTCACCTCTCTTGAAATGAAAAACACAAGAAAAGAAAAATTGAAAGGAAAGGAGGGGAGGGCCTTCCATTTTTACACCAAACAGGGGCTCTCCTTTCCTCTTCTCTTTGTCAAAACCTTCCAATCAAATACTAATGTATAGAGAGATGGAGTAGAGATGAGAAAGGAAAAATGATTGTAACATCTTAATTTTTTTTATTTTCTTAAATGATAATGTAGAAATATGTACAAGTGATGGGGTGAATTACCCTTTATTTGCTGGAGAGAAAAATAAGAAGGAAGAAAAATTTCCAAAAATAGTACAAAAAAAGGCTAACATATACAAAATTACCATGGACTTTAAGGTTGCTACACAAAACTTTTAAAAATTTAAAATTAACTTCCCTAACTTTTTATTTTTTATGATAGACTTGCCTACTGATATTTTTTTAGTTATTTTACTAATAAGAGTTGCTATGTCATATTAAAAAAAAATAAGTAGCAGCTTATGAAACATCTAATGTAAGTTAATAATAACTTTATAAAAATTTTATTCATTTTTTTTGTTATTATTAGCTTACATTGGATGCCACATAAACTACTACGTGTCATTTTTTTATATAACATAACAACTCCCATTAGTAAGATAATTAAAACATAACAATAAGAGAGTCTATGGTCAAAAAAAAAGATTATGGAGGTTAATTTTAAATTTTTAAAGGTCATGTGGGTTTTATAGCATAGCCTCAAAGTTTAGGTGAGTTTTGTATATTTTAGCATAAAAAATTTACTATTTTAAAAAATCTCTCCTCATAATTTTCTCTCTTTTTTATTTTATTTCCACTTTTCTCTCCATCCAAACCAAACCTTAGAATATATTGGGTTTGTATTGAGGTGTAACACATTTAGAATTGAGTTATTTGGACCAAGTGGATGTGGACAAATGGTAACGATTTGGACTCTTTAAGCATAATTTCAAGATTGATTTATAGAGGTTTGAATGGAAAACATCTTTTAGGAGATTACAACCTCTTAAATGGAGATCAGATTTCTCAAGGAATTAATTTCATGACTATCAGCTATGGGGATACCTTAAGTTAAAAAAAAAAAAGAAAAAAAGAATTGAGCTATGTGGAGTTTTGTGATATAAAGGAATCCAACGTTTGATTTAAGTTTTAATAATTCATTGTATAAATACTATGAAAGCTTGGTTAGTGGCAAGGGAAGTTTATTGATCAAGCATGTCATTGAAACAATTCGTTTATAAAATTTCCAATATTGTTCCATATATACTCGAACACCTTTTTCATGCAGCTATAACAACTTATATTTTTGAACAGCGATAGTAAAAATCACTTTTTTTTCCTGTGAACTGTAAGAATTAGCATTTGATTCTTCCAAATTCTAACAAATTTCTAGCTATAATATTTGAGCATTACATATCCGATTTAAGTGTTAAGATTAAGAAAAGTGGCTATTCTTCTTAGCTGTGCCATAAATTGTATTTTTTTCACAAATATCCCCAGTTTGAACTTTTACCTTATATTCAATTTAATGATTTTTTATAACTACTTTCAACTTATAATAAAGGGTGTAATTGAAATAATGCAATGAATGCACAATTTTTTTTATTTTTTGTGATTTAATTGACTACTTTGTGTCAAGTCTTGGCTTTACCTTGTAATCCTATTTATAGGATAGGGAAGTTATTTATTTTGATTCTATTTATAAAACATTTTAATTATTTTTATATCCATCTTTGTTCTTTTACTCCTATTAAATGTTGGGAAAGTTATTAAATGTTGAGATATTTTATTTCTAGTTCATATATTTTTAATAAGGGTAAAGCTAAAAATTTATAAAGTTTTTATATGTTTAAAATTTTCCTTAATTTTGATAAAATATATTAAAAATAACATATAAATAATATCGTAAGAAGTATTTGATAAGGAGAAGCGAGTACATATAGCAACTTGAATGTAAAACCATGTTTTCCTTCATCCGTCTATGTCTCTTACACGTATTACAGGAAAATAAGAAAAGAAAAGGAAAAAGAGTTGTAGTACCATTCTATTTTATTAGACATAAACTAAAAAGAATGACATTAAAGCCCCAAAACAATTAATTTATGATAATTAGGTCCCCAATAAAATTTTTTATAAAATCAATTGTAAATATTAATTCAAATAATTATGACTTTAGAAGTTTTAATTGCAAATAAGACACATAAATTTTAAATATATCTCTCCATTTGCAATTGGGATTCCTATTTGCAACTGTTTGAATCAATATTTATAGCTTGTTTTTAAAAAAATTATATTAAGACCTAACTATCATAAATTCTCTATTTTGAGAATTCATTGCATTCTCCCAATCAAAAAGGCCTCCACCTTAAGCTTTTGTAAGTCTTCCCTCCACGATGTTCATATACAAAATCAAGCTGAGGAATGATCTTCCAAAGCATGTAGTCTACATGCTTAGAGTATTGCAGCCTCCATTGTTGACAAAACATAAGGGGAAGGATAAAAATACCAAAGCCAAAAGTAAATCCCAATTCAGCACTCAAGAAATTCCAATCAATGGAACGCCCAGAATTTGTTTTGTATGATGATGGTGGTGACTATCCTGAAACCCCACCCAAATTGCAATTATGTGTCAATGGAGGTCCACATAAGCCTTCATAATTACCTTCGAAAGAATCTGCCTCAAATGATTGAATTTGAGTGCCCAATGGGATTGGCCCTGTCAGATGATTGTAGGAGAGATTGAGAAATTCAAGGAAATATAGACCTGCAAGCTCTGCACTGAAAGAGTTCATTGACAAGTCTAATGCCTCAAGATACTTCAGATTCCCTATAGATGAAGGGATATGACCTGAAAAAGCATTTTGTGACAAGTTGAGAGCATGAAGTGCTTGGAAGTTCATAAGCTCCTCTGGTATTGGCCCTTCAAAATGGTTGGATGAGAAATCCAAAGAAGTGAAGGCTATGAGAATCTTAGTGAACTTCATTTGTCTTCCTTTGTTGACAATTGTAACTGAATCCAGGTAACTCAGATGACCAAAATCATTGGCTTTCACTTCAGAAAATAAGTGGCTGATCACAAAAGGTGGCTCTGATGCAATAAGTTTGCTTAGTTTGAGTGCAAGACCTTTATTCACAGTGGCTAGTGTAATCATGAAGTCCACAAGATCATCATCATCAAAGATGTTAAAATACAAGTGGCCAAATTCTGATCCATTGCCTTCTTCATCATCAAGCATCACCAATGCTTTCCAACTTTGCAAGAGTGCTACAGGTAGAGTACCACTTAAGTTATTAGAGGCTAGATCAACAATTTGAAGTGCCTCCCACTTCTTAGTACTATCTGGACATTCAAGACTACCATAAAATCTGTTTGACCTAAGAACCATGACTCTCAAAGTTGGAATTTTCCCTAGGAAACATGGAAATCTATCAGTGAATTGATTGTTTCCAAGGTTCAAGACTTGTAGTTTCTGGCAATTGGCTAAAGACTCTGGGATTGTGCCACCTATGAAATTTTCATTGAGGTCTAGGAACTGAATAGAACAAGAAGTTGAAAATGCATCCAAAATATGACCTTTGAGGTTGTTTCCAGCTAGATTTAACATCCTAAGAGTGCTGCTCTCTGTTATCAAACATTCAGGAATAGTTCCACTAAAATTGTTATCAGAAAGATCAATCACTCGAAGATTGGAAACATTACAAAGGGATTCATGGATTTTTCCTTGAAAACTATTGTTTGAAAGGGAAAGGAAATATAAGAAAGGAAGGTGGTTACCAATGTCTGGTGGGGAAATAGAACTAAATCTATTGCTTGAGTAGTCCAAATAGATTACTTCTTTTGGAAAACTGGGAGCTGGGCCTTTGAGTTGGTTGGAATGAAGATCAAGAAGAAACAAATTGGAACTAATGTTTTGAAAAGGTCCCTCCAAATCTGTTAGAAAATTGTTGGAAAGGTTAAGAAAATACATGAAATCAAACCTCCAAATCCAATTCGGTATGGTTCCTTGAATTTGGTTGTTGGATAAGTCCAGGTACAATAAATTGGTTAGATTTCTGAGAAAACTAGGAAACTCCTTCAGCTTGCAAGAAGCCAACATGACATTGTTCAATTTGGGGAATGATGACAGATTAAGCTCCGCCAAAGTTGCATCAACTAGCAAGTTGTTGTGAGCAAGATCTAGTATGGCCAGATTTTCCAAGCTTCTCATCATTTCCAAATGTACAGTTCCATTGAACTTGTTTGAGGAAAGTTGCAGTAAATTGAGTCTTCTGAGTTGAAAGACTGACACAGGTATAGGCCCTTGTAAATTATTCCCACTGATATCAAGGATCTCTAATGGGGATGAAGAAGCATTTGGAAATTCATCTAGAAAACCCTTGAATCCATTATTAGTGAGGATTAGTTCATGCAATGAGGGCAATGTAAAAAGTGACAATGGAACTCTCCCATTGAGAAAATTACCACCTAAATCAACAGTGGCAAGATTTTCAAGGCCATTGAAAAGAAACGATGGAACTTCACCCTGTAAGTGATTGTTATACAGGGATAGATATGTGAGGTTCTTGGACATATTGAAAGATGGAAGCGAGCCAGTGAAGTTGTTGAATGACAGGTCTAGATGAACAAGTGAAGTCAGCTTTGAGATTGAACAAGGAAAGTTCCATGGAATTTGGAGTTTGATAGATCTAAGGCAGACAACTTCCTTAAATTGTGGATAGAACTTGGTAGCTGACCTGAGAAATTTGTGTGGCTAAGGTTCATTGTGTGGAGAGATCTATGAAGTTGGAAGTTTGGTAAAGAACCCTGAAGATCCTGATTATCTGACATATCAAGGACCTGCAAATTTGGTATTTGGAAGATCCGTTTTGGAAATACTCCTTTCAAGTTGCAACTTCTAAGTTGCAAGGTGGTTAAGTTGGTCAAACTCACCAAGGTCTCTGGCACCGAACTTGCCATATTATTATTATTATTCAGTTGAAGTACTAAGAGAGACTGAAGCTTTGCAAGTGAAGAATCAATAGGTCCAAAGAGATTACAAGATGACATACTCACAATTTGAAGATTCCTCAGTGAAGATAGTGCAGCGCCCCACTCCTTCCCCTTAGCTGATATCTTTACCCCATCAAGATATAGTTCTTTGATTTCTGTGAGGTTCTGCAAAAGCATTTCTATACTTGGCTTCTCAAGTATTAAAGTGTGAATTGGGGTAGACAAATCAAGAAAAACCAGCTTTGTTAGGTAAGATATCTCAATTGGAATCTGACCCTTAAACCCAGCGTTTGACAAATTCAAATACCTCAAGTTTTTCAGTCTGTGCAACTCTGAAGGAATCACAGAATGAAACTCATTATAAGCCAAGTTCAAATTTTGCAGAAATTGCAGGTTCACGAGACTATTTGAACTTATTAAACTGTCAAATCCTCCAGAGATTGATTCTTCATTCAAATCAAGAGCTATAACATGTCCCTTGTCACATGTTACTCCATTCCATTTGCAGCAATCATGATCACCATGGTTCCAATGAACCAATTTTTTGGACTTGTAAAGGTCAAATATGAGGCTGCTGTTAAGAGAAAGCAGTGCAGATTTTTTATGGCTATGGCAATGGCTGGTCACAACAAATATATTGATGCTCAAGTTTACGAAGCAAAAGGATATCAGAAAAAGCCATGAGTTTAGGATAAACCTCATTGCATATGGAATATAATAAGAGACACCTTTACAGTAAAGCTTAAAGACAAAGTAACAAGGAATGTGAAGATGGTTTTTGCCTTAGGCGCACCATCCTTTTATGCCTCACAACTTGCATACATTTGACTGAATCAAAGTTGGACTCTTATTGGTGTCATGAGCCCCTTTGGAAGTCAAGCATTTGTCCCATCCCACTAACCTTTAATTTTCCCATTATAAACGTTAAGTAATGTTTTGATTAGTGGATTTGAATTCAAACTTTAGATTTAAAGTCTAGTATTTAAAATTCACGTATTTAAAATATTATATATGAATAGTTTAAAAAATTTCAAAAGAAAGAGAGAGATGAATTAAGATTTGAAAGTAAAATTAAAAATGATAAGTTTATCTTTATTTTTCAATCAATGAGAGATGAGAAAGAAAAATATGAAAAGACACAAGCATTATGAAGACATCAATAGTTAAAATATGAAACAAATGAGACATCAATAGTTAAAATATGAAACAAATGAAAAGTTTGAAGTGTCTAAAATTTCAAATAATTAAGATATAGAAGGAAGTTGAAATTATTAAGGAAATATAACAATAAATGAATTTGAATTTGAATTGAACACAATTTTATAAATTTTTGTGTATTCAAATAAGGAATTTAATTCAAATCTAAATCTTCATTAATCCAAACACAGTACTAGTGTGCTGCATTTAGCAATTTCACATGATTTATTCTTCACATATGCCTTCGTGACCAATAGAAGCAACTGAGCAGGCGACGCCCACCCTTAAAACTCCCTTCATTCCCTTGCATTGTTTGCAGATGTTAGCTTAGAATAAGAGTCCAACTGTCCAAGCCTATCAGACTACCTCCTCTATGCCTGTTTGGTTTTCCTGGGCTAAAAGCTAATTTGCTAAAAGTTTATCTAGCAAACATCAATTTAATAAAAGTAAACTATAACAAAATGTGCAAAATTTGTATTTAGATATATTTTTTAAAGTTTAATTTGATAAATTAAAAATTATTTAGATTATATATAATAAAAAGTATTTTAAAGGACATTGATTTTTATTATTTGTAATTTTTGTCATACAACTACTTTCATATTAGAAATGTTTGAAAAGCATGTGATAAAAATTTTAAATAATAAAATTTTTTATATGTTAAACAATAAAGATAAAAAATATAAAGTTTTATGTTGGACAGAAATTATATAACTTAATATCAAATGACATTTTAAAAAATTGTCTGCAATTTCTTTTCAGATAAAAATCCATCCAGTGCAATTTTTTTAAAAATAAAAATTAGAGATAGCATGGTCATATATTGAGAGGAGATCACATTTCAAAAGCTCTCTCATATTGCTTCTATCAAATTCAGGTTCAAAGACTTTTAGAAAATATACTTTCAAAAAGTTGATTTGAAGTCAAATTAAATACCCAAACAATCAAACCTCTCTCCGCTTTTTGAAAGTGCAAAAGTGGGAAAAACAAATGGGCGGTTACACTTTTTTTTTTTTTTGGGGCTTGACTTTGAAAATTAGAGTATTTTACTATAAAAAAATTATTTTAGTCTAACCCGTTTATGTTTGGTAAAAAATGGGCTTGAATTTAAGCTTAATTTACTTGTTTAAACATGCATTACCTTTTTTATTTTAAAATATTTAAGTTGGTATTTTAGTGCATAAATATTAAATATTATGATGTAAAAATAATTTTAGAAAAATAAAATAAAGACAAGCTTTTGGTTCCAGCCCTAGGTCTAATTAATAAGAATTGGAGCTTGGGTTTAAAGAAGTGATTAATTTTAAGATTAAAGTATTTCTAAACCTAAGCTCACATGATCAAGCCCATCCATTTTAGTTCACTAAGAATAAACATAATTATTGTGGTATTTCTTGAAACTATTTGATTATTGACCGGGAAAACAACTTCTTCTTTTATCACTTTCTTCAAGTTTCTAAAAATTCATCTCTTTTCTGTAGAACTGTTGGAAGTAAAACAAGAATTTGAAAAACGAAATAAAAGAAAAAAGTGCAGAAAGTTCAAAGTCTAGAAGAAGTCTAGGAAGTGATTGGTTCTGTGCGGAGGTCAAGCCGGTCTTAATAAGCAAAATTGGTCTTTGCCGTATGTACAACTATTAAAAAATATTAATATACTACTTCCTCCATTAAAAAAATATAAAATATTTTTAATTAAATTTTATTTTAATAAAATAATTAATTATTTTTAAACTAACATAATCTTTTATATTTATTCATATTTAATAATATATTTCACTTTAAAATAAATATAAAGTAATTTATTCATTATGGACACTTTTAAAAAAAAAATAGCTTTACATTTTCTAACATTTAACACATCAAAAAATGTCTAATATTTTTTTCAGGAAGAGAGTATTAATTTTGGACAATTTTCCCTACTATTTATAAATAACTAGATATATAAATAGATTTATTCTTGATTGCATGGGGATAATTTAATTTTTAAAAGGTTATAATAAAATAAAAATATGAAAACTAAAAAAAATATTTTAGTATATTCTGGATCTCTGATTTTTTTATTTTATATAAATTAAAATCTAGATAATAACATATTTTATTTTAAAATTTTTTGACCTATACTTATTAAAGATATAAATAATTTTTTATTTTATTTTAGATTGTGTTCTCATTTGATTTTTTTTTTTTTGGGGGCAAGGCTCTCATTTGATTAACATGTGAAGAAACTTTAAATTCTGGTTAAAAATAAACTTTTACTAAATCATGTCCCTACCCAACAAGTATCCCTTGATCTATCAATAGTTGTCTTGTATCGTAGCAACATGTCAGGTCCCACATCGGAGGGACTTAGGGAGGATCCTGGTTATATAAGCGGGTGCGCTGCACGCCCTAATAGGTTAGCCTTTTGGGAAAAGAGTAATGGCCCCATGACAAACAGCTTTAAATATTTGGTATGAAATTTTACCACTTGAAAGGGTCCTACAAGTGCTTGATCTTGTTAAGTCCCATCAACTTGAGTCAGGCAGATCTAGAATACAAGGCAAAAAATGCAAAATTTGTTTTTAAATTTTCTCCTCTCTTGTCATGTCAATTTAAATATAATTGGGTTATTATATTTGAGAATTTGTTGGCCTATTCATCACCTGCAAAAATGAAACATGCATATAAAGTACTATACACTTTGCAGTAGAAACAACTTTTGTAATGAATAATTATATTATATTGCGTATGGTGCTCTATATACATTTACAATATATATTGTAGGATACAAAACCCTAGATAGCATAAAGAAGGCTATTGGGCTACAAGTCGATACAAAGGTATATTTAGTTAAATACAACAGGTAACACAACAGTGAGGCCCAAATGGTTATTGGGCTATTTTATACTCAAAGCTCATTTAGTCTTAACAGGCCCTCACAAACGAGGAATAGAAGGCTTATGAATTTTGAATTTGGATTTGAAGTCCGGATGCTTTGAGTAAGAGAGAGCTTTCGTAAAATGTTGGCAAGCTGCTCAAAAGATAGTACAAATCTAACAAAAAGCTTGTGATCAAGTACATATTCTCGAATGAAATGAACATTCAACTTGATGTGTTTTGACCGAGCATGGAATATAGGGTTTGAAGCTAAGGTTGCCACACTGAGGTTGCCACACCAGGCTATCAGAGGCTATCAAAGGTGAAGAACCAGTTCTATGTAAAAGACTGAATCTGAGCCAACTCAAAAGCAAGATCTATGAAAGCATAATATTCAAACTCCAAGCTTGAATGAGCAACCACCTTTTGTTTCTTAGCTGACTAGGAGATCAAGGAGTCGCTAAGGAATACACAATACCAACCAACCAATCGACGATCATCTGGGCAAATGGCCCAATTGGCATCAGTAAACCCTTACAAGGTAAGATGATTACTTGGCTTGATGTGTAGACTTAGATCTGATGTCCCTATAAGATACCGTAATATACGCTTTAAGGTTTGCTAGTGAACATTAGTAGGAGAAGTCAATTTCAAAAATTGACTAAGTTTATTGACAACAAACATAATATCTTACCGTGTATGAATGAGATACTGAAGTGACCTGATTAGTTATCTATAGACTATTGGATCTTTGAGAGGACTACCATCATATTTTGAGTAGTGCCTGTTTACAACCATTGGTGTAAGAACTAGAGCTATGTTAATCATACTAGATCTATTAAGAATGTTATAAATATAACTCTCCTATTTTAGGTAGAGTCCTATCTCATCTCTATAGGCTTCAACCCCAACAAAGTGATGTAGTTGACCTAAATCTTTGAAAGCAAACATAGTGTTGAGTTGCTAAATGAACATAGTTAGAGCTGTTGAAGAATTTCCAGTAGCTATTATATCATCTACATAGACCAAAACAAATGTAACATCCGGGAAAATTTAATCCTGGTTTATTAACCTAATAAAGGTAATTAGTGAATTAATGAGGTATGTGGCCAGAGGGGCTTCACTTGGTGTATTTGTGGTGATTTTAGCCTTATAAGTGGTTCTGGATTGATGGCGAGCCACCCGAGCAAGGAAAGAGAAAGAAAAAGTAAATAATTGTTCTCTATGCCACATGCCGCAACATGTGGTCAGTCTACCACGATGCACAGAGATGAATTTGAATACAATGGGCTCCTTTGTGCCATGCACTGCGGCAAAAGGGAATGTGTGCCACGGTGCACGAGAAAAAGATCTGATAAATCAAATACATTCTGTGTGTGAAAATAGAAGAAGAGGAGGAGAGAAAAATAAAAAGCTCGACTTAGGCTTTGCTAAGGCACAGCATTGGCTTCCATTGTTGACATTATAAAGCTCCCAAACACCCAAGATAAGTTTGTAGTGCCTTATTCTTCATTTCTCTCCCTCAGTTATGATGATTTATGGTGGGGTTTGAGTTGGAAGATGGATTTTTGGTCCATAGGAGTATGGGACCGATTTTATTAGTTAAAATGAGTATAATGGGAGTTGTTTAAGGTATTAGAACATCACATTGATAATTTTAAAAGTGGTTAGTCCATGAGAGCATTTAATATCCGAAAATTAACATAAATATGGTAGTTGGGAGAGGTTTATATACATTAATGATGGTTTGAGGTGTCATTAGTGATAATGTACATTAATGGAACCTAAAGAGCCCATTAGATATGAATGGGTAGAGATATATAGGATTGGTAGAATAGAGGAAAGGTGGAATCAATATTGATATTTCCCTTAAAGTGTGATTGTAATGATATTCTTACTTATGATTGCAATGTGAATCTTTTGGCACCATTCAAGCTTGTTGAAGCTTTAGAAAGTTGGTATAGTAAGGGATAAACCTTTGACCTCTCAAAGGTTTGAGGTAACCGAGAGAAACTTAATCTTTATAGTTGAATGTTAATTATGTTTATGAAATATGAATTATGATTTAAATTAACGATGCATATTGGCAAAGTGTTTGATTTGGAAAATAATTTTTGAAAAGAAAACCTTGATTATGCAACTCTTTATGTTTTACGAAATTGATTGTGATTTTTTATTATGGGTGAAGAATTGTGATGTATTATGTGAATTATGTAGAGAAATTGAATATGGTTGTATGAGATTAATTGCCATGAATTAATTATTGAAATGCATAATATGTGATAAATGTACATAGCATGATCATTAGCAGGAGCTCGCCTAAGGAGAGGAGTAGATTGATTTAAATCTATGTGGTACTAGTAGTGATCCTTGGAATCGAAAACTAGTCTTAGCACTGACCGTTGGAATTGAGAGATAGCCCTTGTCCCATGATTAATTTGAGACTGTCTCACTTATTCTACGAGGGACTTGAACCTAACTAGTCTCTACTGGTTTAGGAGGCTAGATTAGGGGTATGACACTCCATGGTTATTATTATTAGAGAAAACTGGATTACATAAGTAAGTGAGTTCATCCTGGCCTGGTAGCTCCTTATAAGTGGAAGGTTAGGTTAGTCCGTAAAGGACGTAGCCACGTGATAGCCACCGGTTTCATGTCAGAGGTAATAGGAGGATATAAGGTTGGCATATAATCATATATATAAGTCTGGCTATATGGTTGTCAATTTTATGGTCTGGCATGTGTTAAGGGTGCATGGTTGTTATTTTTGTAATCCCATGTTGTGCTTTGTAAACCATCATGAGATTGTATGTTGTCGGCCCGGTCACATGGTTGTTAATTATGTGAACCATAGCCAAGTGTTTATATGTGATATCTGTGTATTTTCCTAATTGCATCTATTTACAATTGATATGCAACTATATAAGTTAGGTAAAACTTGATTACTAAGTACTTGTACTCACCCATCAATTTTTAATATTTTCAGGACCTAACTCATTGGATCCAAATTGAAAAAGCACATAGAGGCCTAGGATTGTGGAGTAATCCTCTTTATACCTCTTTTTGTTACTTTCATGTGTATTTGTTGATGTAATTGCCAACTAGGATCATTTATGCACTACTCACATGATTTTATGTATAACTAGTGTATTTCGTGCCCTGAGTTGGTGAGTTTTGGTTGTGAACCTGTGGATAGGGCCAAAATACTTATGCAAGTAAAAACATATGTATTTTGAACGATGGATGAAATTGATAATTTTGTGCAACATTTCCTCCCCCTTTATGTTTTGTGAAAATCAAGGGTTGAGTGATGATTTTATGATATAAGTGTTTTTGATTTCGTGTAGTGCATTGCATAGGTCCATTAGAGTTTATTGAATGTGGTCGGATGGTTGGTATGAGCTATTGGCACAAGTGGTTGAATTGGGACACCTATTTATGAAATTTTGGGAAAAAAATTGTCAAAATGAGTTTTGGTGTCCAACTTTTTATAAAAAATGAGTTCGAGTGTAAAACCAATGCCATTAGCTAGAGCTAATAGAAAGCTCCGTGTAGACACCAAAATCACCTCAATCAGACGTTGGATGAAGATTTGGTATGCATCGAAAGTTTGCTCCCTATGTTATCAAATGTTAGCATTGATGCTATCAAATTTGTGCAATGCACCGCAGCGCATGGCATCTCACGTCGCAGTGCATGACACAGAGAAGACAAGCCATGGTGCATATGTCATTTTCTGCACAAAATTTGTTTTTGAATTTTAAAAGTCATTATTTTGGGTCCCAATTGATTTTTAAGCTTTCGCTTTACTTTTAAAATTCTGATTGGAAATTATTAAACAATGTTTGAGATTCAACATGTTGAATTCAGGATTCTTTTTAAAAAGGATTAGAGAAATTTCTTTTTTATGAAATTTAACAATTTGGTAATCCTTTGAGGGTTAAACCCTAAATTGCTATGATTTGAAGTTAAACGTGGTTTAGTAAGGGAGACCTTACAGTTTGGTCTCTTGGTTCTTATAACAAACATAACAAATCTACCATGTTTAATAAAAAAGAGTGATGAATCACTCTTAGAATGTAAGAACCCCCACTTGAAAAGAGTACTTCACAGCTTATCAAACTAGGCTTTAGGTGCTTGCTGTATACCATACAAAGCCTTCTTTAAAAGACAGACATGAGTAGGAAATTTGGGGTCTATGAAACCATTTGGTTGCTTCATAAGAACTTGCTCATATAAATCTCCATTTAAGAATGCATTATTGATATCCATTTGATGTACTTGCCAGTTAAAAGTAATAGCAATAGTAAGAACAAATTTGAGAATTGATGCCTTGAGAACTGGACTGAAGGTCTCTTCAAAATCAATGCCTAGATTTTGTTAAAAACCTTTGGCAACTAGTCTTGGCTTGTGTTTTTGAAAAGTTCCATCTACATTAAACTTTGTTTTGAATACCTTCTTGCAATCCACTACATTCCTTTATCCCGTATAGGGAATTAACACCTATTTTTTGTTGATAATTAATGCATTAAACTCATTTTGCATTACTTTTCTCCAAGCATGAGATTTTAATGCTTTAGCAACATTTCTAGGCTTAAAATCAACAGATGTTTTAGTCAAGATAGCACCAACATAGGGTATTTTAGTTTTGTAAGTACCAACCTTACTACGAGTGAGCATGGGATGTTGATTAAGAGAAACAATTTAATGAGAATCTTTTGTTAAAGAGCCACTTTCATACCTGTCATTAGGATGTTCAGTCATGTGTTGAGGTGACTGATTTTCAGCACTGTGTTCAGGACTGACAGCATGATAATCATTTCTTGTTTCACGTTCAATGATAAAAGGAGATAAACTTGGAATTAATGAAGCAGAGATTGCTGGAGACATTGTAGTGGAGGAAATTGGTTATAGACTGTCTTTACTTTGTGATGAAATCACATCATTGGCACATTTTCTCTCAACCAAGGCTAGATCTAATTTGAAGAAAACTTCAGGATAAATCTTCTCTTTAGGTATGACTCTTGTTTATAAATCCTATAACAAAGGGAAATTCTACCTTATTAAATACAACATGCCTAGAAATATAAATCCTACCAGCAGAACTTAAACATTTGTACCCTGTGTGAGCATTGCTATATCCTAAGAATACATACTTGGTGGACCTAAATTCTAACTTATGTTGATTATAAGGTCTAAGGTAGGGGTAGCATGTAGAACCAAAAACCTTAAGTCTTTCATAATCTAGATTTTTGCCAGGTAACTGAAAATAAGGTGAAACTCCACCTAACACAGTTGATAGTAATAGATTAATAAGGTTGGTAATGTAACATCTGGAAAATTTTAACCCTGGTTTATTAACCTGATGAGGATAATTAGTGAGTTAATGAGGTGTGTAGCCAGAGGAGCTTAACTTGGCATAATTGTTGTGATTTCAGCCCTAGAAGTGGGTCCAGATCGATGGCGAGCCACCTGGGTAAAGAAAAGGTGAAGAATTATTTTTTGTGCCACATACCGTGACATGTGGTTAGTCCACCGGGGCGCACAGAGACAATTCAAATATAACGGGCTCCTTTATGCCATGCGCAGCAACGGAAGGCAGCATATGCCGCAACGCATGACCAAAAATTAGATAAATTAGCTCGTGAGCTGCTTGAAAACAGAAGAGAAAAAGAGGAAGAAAACGAAGAGCTCGATTTTGGCTCTGTTAGGGCACGACATTTGGTCTCATTATTGATAGATTGAAGCTCCCAAACACCCAAGGTAAGATTATGGTGCCTTCTTCTTCCTTTCTCTCCCTCATTTGTAATGATTTATGGTAGGGTTTGAGTTGAAAGATGGATTTTCGGTCCATAGGAGTATAGGTCTGATTTTATTAGTTAAAATAAGTTAAATGAGAGTTATTTAATGTATTGGAACACCACATTAATAATTTTGGAAGTGGTTGGTTCATGGAAGCATCTAATGCCTAAAAATTGGTATTTATGAGGTATTTGGGAGAGGTTAATGTGCATTAATGAAGGTTTGAAGTGTTATTAATAATAATGTACATTAATAGAATCTAATAAGCCTATTGGTATGAGTGGATATTGATTATGAGTTGATTAAAAATAATGTATGTGGAGTTTTATGTTAATAAAGCTTTAAGAGCAAGATAATGATGATATATTTATGGTGTAGATGTAAAGGGTTCATTTTGGCACCGCTCGAGCTTGTTGAAGCTTTAGAAAGTTGGTATAATGAAGGGTAAACTTTTGACCTCTTAAATATTTGAGGTAACTAAGGGAAGCTTAATTTTTATAGTCGAATGTTAATTGTGTTTGTGAAATATGATTTGCGGATTAAATTGATGATGTATATTGGCAAAGTATTGATTTGTGGAATAGTTTTTGGAAAGACAACCTTGATTTTTGTCACCCTTGATGTTTTACAAAATTAATTGTGATTTAATACTATAAGTGGAGAATTGTGATGTATTATGTGTTAAATTGTGGAGCATTTGTCTTATGTGGGTTCATGTTTTGAGAAATGATTATTAAATGCATATTATGTATGAAATGTGCATAACATGATCATTGGCGAGTGTTCACCTACGGAGAGGAGTAGATTGGTTGAAATCCACATGATATTGGCAGTGACAGTTGGAATTGAGAACTAGCCTTGGCACCGACTGTTGGAATCGGGAGGTAGCCCTTATCCCATGATTATTTTAAGACTGTCTCACTTGTTCTATGAGGGACTCAAACCTAACTAGTCTCCACCGGTTCATGATGAGGCTAAATTAGAGGTACGACACCCTATGGTTGTTAGTATTGGAGGAAACTGGATTACATAAGTGAGTGAGTTCACCCTGGCCTGGTAACTCATCACAAATGAAAGGCTGGGTTAGTCTGTGAAGGATGTAGCCACGTGATAGCCACCAGTTTCATATCAGAGGTAACTGAATATAAGGTTGGCACATGATCATACATATAAGTCCTGCTACATGGTTGTTAGTTTTGTAGTCCTACATATGTTGAGGGCGCATGGTTGTTATTTTTATGACCCTATGTTATATTTTTACGAAATATCATGATATAGTGTTTTATGGCAAGCCTGGTCACATAGTTGTTAGTTTTATGAACTGTGGCCTAATGCTATATGAAATATGTGTTTATTTGTCTAATTGCATCTATTGACAATTAATATGTAACTGTAAGGGTTAAGTGAAACTTGGTTGCTAAGTGGTTGTACTCACCCCTCAATTTTCAATATTTTCAGGACTTAGCTCATCGGATCCGAGTCGAGGAAAACATACAAAGGCTTAGAATTGGTGGAATAATCCTCTATATGCCTCTCTTTTACTACTTACATATATATTTGTTAATGTAATTGCCAACCAGGTGTAATTGATATGATTTGTGCACTACTTGTATGATTTTGTGTATAACTAGTGTATTTTGTGCCCTGAATTAGTGAGTTTTTGTTGTAAACCCATGGATAAGTGCAAGTAGGAACATATGTATTTTTGAAAAATATGAAATGAAATAGTTGACTTGGTACATTATTCCTCCCCCTTTATGTTTTGTGAAAATTGGGGTTGAGTGGTGTTTTTATGAAATAAGCATTTTTGGTTGAGTGTGGTGTGTTACACGAGTCGGCAAAAAGTTTATTGAGTGTGGTCGAATGATTTGTGTAAGCTATTGGCATGTGTGGTTGAGTTGTGATACCCTATTTAGGATATTTTATAAAAGTGTGGTCAAAATGGATTTTGGTTTCTAACTTTTTATAGAAAATGAGTTTGAATGTAAAGCCTATGCCATTAACTAGAGTTAAGAGAAAGCTTTGTGTAGGCACTGAAACCACCTCAATTGAATGTCAGATGAAGATTTAGGACGCGTCAAAAGTTCGCTCCCTATGCTGTCAAATGACAGCACTACTCTGTCAAATTTCGTGCAATGCGCCGCGGCGCATGGCATAGAGAAGACACACTGTGGCGCACATGTCATTTCTGTATAGTATTTATTTTTGAGTTTTAAAACTCATTATTTGGGTTTTTCAAGCTTTTGCTTTATTTTCAAAACTCTAATTTGGGCTTATTAAATCATGTTTGAGATTTGAACTGTCAAGGTTGGGATTCCCTTGAAAGATTTTTGAGAAATTCTCTTTTAAAATCTTGCAGTTTGATAATCCTTGAGGGTAAATCCTTGGATTACCATAATTTGAAGTTAATTGTGGTTTAACCTCAGGGAGGTTACAAGTGGCGGTATTAAAAGCTTCACACCAGTAAAATGGGGGCATTTTAGCTCGAGCTAATAAGGTTAAGCCTATTTCAACAATATGTCTATGTTTTCTTTCTGCTCTGCCATTTTAAGCTAAGGTACGTGGACAAGAGTGTCGAAATTGAATTCCTGAATCTTGCAACACGTTAGTGAAACTCCTATATTCACTTCCCCAGTTACTTTGAATCATCTTAATTTTATGATCAAATTGATTTTCAACTAGCTTCTTGGATTGCATAAATGTACTCAAGGCTTCATCTTTAGTTTTTAGTGGGTAAATCCAAGAGTAGTGATTGTAGTCATCAACAAATAAGATATAATATTGAAAACCATTCATTGAAGCCAAAGGAAAAGGATCCCACAAATCTATATGAATAAGTTCAAGTGGCTTAGAGGCATAGAAATAAAAATTTTAAAAGAAAGTGAGTGTGATTTTTCATATTTGCATGATTCACAAAATATATCTTCATTCTTAAAAATGTTCAAATTACAATTATTAATAATGGATCTAGCACCCTAGAATTAGGATGTCCAATGCCATATAACTTTACTAGACTTAGGTTTTCTAAGTGCTGAATGATCAGCTTCTTCAACCACAGCAAAAACCAACTTTACTTCATTATCAACCTTAGCCTCATTAATCTGAAACATGCCACCTTCACTAGCTTCCCTTGAAGCATTATCTACCTTGTTTTGCCGATCCTTCATAGAAACACCATGTTTATTAAAAACAACATCAGCATCTTTGTCACTAGCCACTTTATAAACACTCAACAAATTCTTTTTAATCTTTAGGTAGTAGAGTATATCAAGTAATTTAATTGGTTTACTGGACACAGTCTTAATGTTAGATGAACCAATCTTTTCAACACTAAGTTTATCACCATCACCAATTATAATATTCATCTTACCATTGAGATTAGTTGGATTGTCGAGACATGCAACATCATTTGTCACATGACTAGTAGCACCACTATCAAGAAACCATGCATCATCATTAATAGTTTCTGAAGTTTCCCAAAAGGCTACATTAAATTCTGTATTAGCACTAGAATTAGTGCCACTGCCACTAGAATTTTGATTTGCCCTTGAGGAAGATTTTATAAATATTCTATCATAATGATAAAAACATGCGTCAACTTTATAACCAAACCTCTCACATAATTGACACTTAGGACGTTTTGAACTTCTATCTCCTCCTGAACCCCGACCATTTCTGCCCCTTCCTCTAGATCCTCTAAAAGCACGACCACCACGCCAGGCATTTGGAGTGGAGATTTCAGACCTAGCATAATTCACTAGATTATTAGATAGAGATAGATTAGAAAGTTGAGTAAGTTGGTCTAACCGACTTTCATAGGTTAATAATTCAGCTTATAATTCAATCTAGGTAAGATCATCAACTTCACGACTTAGTTGAACAACAACAGGATTATAATTGGCATCAAGTCCAGAAAGTATTTGTATAATGAGATCAGGGAGAGGCACAATATTACTAGCAATGGTTAATTGTTCTGATATATTCTTCATTTTGGCTAGATATTCAGCCATTTTCATGTTGCCTTTTCTTGTACATTACAGATCAGCTTTTAACATTAGAATTCTTGCCTTGGTCTGAGCACTAGCAAG